CTTACTTCTGTTAGACATGTGCTTTCGTATATCCAGGTTGAGGAGAGTAGAATGAAGGCTATGTCTGCACCTGTGTCCACTAAGCTTGAGCCAGAAGTACCATCGTCTGAGAGGTCTGCTCTTGCCACACAATAATGGAACAAGCCCAATCCTCCAAAAGGAGGGAAACAGGATGACAAGAGCAAGTTGAGGTGTGATCACTGTGGGCGTACACGCCACACTAGTGAAAAATGCTGGTATCTACACGGTAGCCCTACTCTAGCTCTTGCTCATGCGAATGCTAGGCCAAGACCTGGTCCATTTAGGGGGTTATCTACGGCATATACTGCAGAGCATGAGACTTCTACTGGTCATGCCTCCTCAGGGCCTCCGAGTTCTTTGTCCGAGGCTGAACTTGATGCTCTCCGACATCTAGTAGCACAACATTCCTTCATTTCCACCTCTAACTTCGCTCAAACGCGTACCTCTCATTCGGCACATTAGGTTTCCACATTATCTGGTGGGCCACCCTAGATCATTGATTCAGGAGCCACTGATCACATGACTGGTATGACATCTGATTTTTCTTTGTATAGTTTATGTTCTGGTAAAGATAAGGTTAGGGTGGCTGATGGCACTTTCACCTCATTACGGGGAAGGGCACTGTTTTTGCGTCTCCTAATCTTATCTTATCCTCTGTTCTTCATGTCCTAAAGTTTACCAATAACCTCCTTTCTGTAAGTCACATTACAAAATACTTGAATTGTAGTGTAACCTTTTTTCCATCTCACTATATGTTACATGACTTGGACACGGGGAAGACGATTGGAAATGGACGTGAGGACAATGGGTTGCATTTGCTGAACGCGAGGCCAACTTCTTATTATGTTGCAAATCAATCTAGTGTTAGGAATAGTAATGCCAATAAAGATCTATTAATGCGATGGCATAATAGACTAGGTCATTTACCTCTTCCTGTTTTGAAGCATGTGCTTCCCCAGTTTGCTTCTTTTGAATCTTTTGAATTAAATTGTGAAACATGCGTTCTTGCCAAACAATGTCGTGTTTCTTATCCTACTAGTATTAATAACAGTACAGCTCATTTGCAGTTTGTTCATTATGATGTGTGGGGTCCTGAATTTACTACTTCGTTACTTGGTTTTCGTTACTTTGTTGTGTTTGTTGACGACTTTAGTCGATATACTTGGCTTTATCTTATGAAAACCAAAGATGAAGTTCATTCCATTTTTAAAACCTTTCATAGGATGGTATGTACTCAGTTTGGTTATCCCCTCAAAATCCTTTGATCTGATAATGGAGGAGAGTTTATGTGTGGTGGTCTTGCCTCCTTTTTTGTTGATGACGGGATTGCCCATCAAACCTTTTGTGTCGATATACCACAATAGAATGGTGTAGCTGAAAGAAAACACCGTTATATTACCTTATCAATCGCATGCCTTCTAAGGTTCTTGGCTATCACTCCCCCTTCTCTGTCTTACACCACGACACTGCCTTGTTTACTGTCCCTCCTAAAGTGTTTGGTTGTGTTTGTTATGTTCACATTCATCATCGCAAGGACAAAATGGACCCTAAGGCAATCCGATGTGTCTTTCTTGGATACTCCGCCACTTAAAAAGGGTATCGGTGTTATAACCCTACCACTTGTCGTCGCTTTGTCTCCATGGATGTTACATTCTTTGAGTCTGTTCCTTTTTTTTCCACTGCTCGGGATTCTCTACTGGGGGAGACTACTATACAGGTAGAGAATCCATTGTCCATTCAGAGGGAATGCCCTTTTCCTTTGCCTGTTCCCATTTAGGAGGAGCTTCTTACTGAGGTGCCTTTGTCTTGTCCTAACACTAATGATTTGCAGCTGGAAAACAACCAATTGTCTACACTAGGAGGGCAAAACAAGTTATTGACTCACCCTAGGACCAAGAAGTCTCCCTCAATCTAGGTAATTCCTTAGTTGACATTGATACTCCTGATTCTTTTCCCAATAGCATTCATGTTGATCTTGATGTCCTTATTGCCTATCGTAAGGGTGTTCGTAGTTGTACAAAATATTCCATATCTCAGTTTGTATCCTATGATGCCTTATCTCAAACATATCGTGCTTTCACTTCGTGTATCTCCTCTATATCTGTTCCTTCTAGTGTTTCAGATGCTCTTAGTCAAACTCCATGGAAGAAAGCTATGCTTGAAGAAATGAGGGCCCGTGAGAAGAATAGTACTTGGGATATTGTTCTATTACCTAGGGGTAAGAAACCAGTAGGCTGCAAATGGGTCTACACAATAAAGTATCATGCAAACGGATCAATTGAGAGATATAAAGCTTGATTAGTTGCAAAGGGCTTCACTCAGACCTATGGAATTGATTATCTGGAAACATTTGCTCTAGTTGCCAAGATGAACTCTATACGTGTTCTTCTTTCTTTGGCAGCTAATTTGATTTCCCCTTACATCAGCTGGATGTAAAGAATGCTTTCCTTCATGGTGACTTGGAGGAAGAGGTGTATATGACTATGCCACCAGGGTTTAAGCTTGCCAATGCTCAGAATTTAGGGTGCAAACGAAATAAAGCCTTGTATCGGTTAAAGCAGTCACCACGTGCTTGGTTTGAGAGGTTCAACACTGTTGTGAAAAGAGTAGGGTACACACAGGGTCAGACAAATCATACTCTCTTCATCAAGAAGCACCAGGGCTACATCACTGCCCTTATTGTATATGTTGATGATATTGTTATCACTGGAACTGATCCACAAGAGATTCGTCGAATGAAGTCATTCTTAGGGATAGGGTTCGAGGTTAAAGACCTTGGATCATTGAGATACTTTCTTGCAATTGAGGTGTGCAGATCGAAGAAATGGGTGTTCGTTTCTCAATGGAAGTATGTGTTAGATTTGTTGGCTGAAACAGGCAGGCTTGGAGCTAGACCTGTTGATATTCCCATTGAGCATAACCATAGGCTTAATGATGTAGATGGAGACCCATTAGATGATGTGGGAAGATTTCAGCGATTGGTTGGGAGACTGATTTACTTATCTCTCACGCGCTCGGATATTGCCTACGCTGTTAGTGTGATTAGTCAGTTTATGCATGCTCCACGTACACCTCACCTTGAGGCAGCTCATGATGTTCTTCGTTACCTCAAGGGTTCACCTGATAAGAGGATATTGTTTGGCAGTCATGGCCACTTGCGTGTTGAAGCCTATACTGATGCTGATTAGGCAGGGTCTGTGATAGATCGACGATATACTTCAAGATATTGCACATTTGTTGGAGGTAATCTTGTTTCATGGCGAAGCAAGAAATAGTCTGTAGTAGCTAGATCTAGTGCAGAGGTTGAGTTCAGATCCATGGCACATGGAGTTTGTGAGTTATTATGGCTACATACGATGTTGGGTGAGTTAGGTTATCCTGTTCGCGAGTCAATGAAGTTGTATTGTGACAACAAGGTTGTTATTAACATTGCCTACAATCCAGCTCAACATGACAGGACAAAGTACATTGAAGTCGATCAACACTTCATTAAGGAAAAGCTTCATCAATACACATGATCAGGTTGCTATGTTTTGACTAAGCGTGTGAGCAAGACTTGCTTGCAAAATATGTTAGTCAAGCTGGGCATGATAGATATCTTTGCACCAGCTTGAGGAGGGGTGTTGTCAGGGGCTTATTTGTTATTACTTATATAATGTTGGGGCTTATGTGTAATTTCTGAAACTTATTATTATAAATAGAATGTGGTGGAAGGATGAAAGTATTCTTTCATTCTTTCTCTTTCCTCATCTCTCTTTCTTATTCTTTATCACTTACTTTTGATTTGAGTATATCTTAAAGTCAACAATAGGCACTAGCTAGAAAATTAAGTTAAAGGAATTGTCTATTGGCAGTTTTTGCCTGTAAATGTTATTAAAAGCCAGGGACGCAAGTAAGCAAGTTAAATTAAATTTTTTTATATATATATATATATTATATTTCACAATTTGAAGTTTTTGACTAAAACCTCTCTTCCAATATTTTATTTATTTATTTATTTAATTTTATTTTTTGATATGTAAATTTACTAACACACATGCCCCAACCGGGGGTGGGCAACTTCCTTTTCAGGGAGGTGGAGGACATTCCACTCAAGTCAAGGCTTTGGTGGAAATTGAGTTTCTCCTTTTAAACTCTTGATTGTTTTGGTCTCTCTTTATTGACTAGTGAATTTTTAAATTCTATGCCATATTGTTTGTGTTGATTTTTTTTTCCTCCTTTTGTAATGAAAGTTATAGTATTTCAATTAGTTAGGCAGTCCATGTGTATTATTGCTCCATAAAGCAACAGAACTAAAAACTCTGTTGCTGGTTTTAGTTGATTAAAGAATGTTCTCATTTTGGCTGCTCATGCAACTTGTAGTTCTGATACTTTTATTAGTTAGCTCTACAAAAGTTGCTTTACCTTTTTGTTGTTTATCTCGTTACTACACATAGAAAGCAAGAACTTAGGTGCTCTTGCTACTAGTTGATGATTTCTCTGTGTCATATTCTACTTTCCTAGGTTTAATAATCACCCTCGTTTTAAGCCCTTAATCATTGAACTACTTGTAACGGTGTTCGAATACCAATGTAATGATTCTTAGCTGATTTTGTGCTTGGCGTATTCAGTTATTCTCTCCCCTTCCCCTTCTCTCCAACCCACCCATTACCCAAGAAAAATACTGACACACTTTTTGTCCAAGGAGTTAATTCAAGACTTGCTAATGTTTGTACATGGCCCTTCCATGACCATGGGACCATCTAATTTTAGACTTCCACTAAATTAGTTTGATTAATTTGGGCCATCGATCAAGTTGATATACATTGGAAGTCTTTAATTTATTTTTATATTTTGTTTTGGATTCATGAAATTTGAGAAGTAAACTTGCTCTAAAACATGTTTGATTACCACTCAAGACTCTCCTCTTCATATATGTTTAAATTCCAATTATATAGATTTAGTCATACAATTCACGTTGATTAATTCTTTATTTCCAGGTTGCCGAGCCACTAAGGGCAATGGTAACGGGAGCTCCATTGGAGGATGCTCGACATCTTGCTCAACGATATGATAGAGTAAGACAGGAAGGAGATGCCCAGGTAACATTGGATATGACAGATACACTTATTTACCAGAATTTTACTTGGCTGATATTCACTGTTTGTGGTGTGCTTGTTTGATCAATTTTGAATATTTCCGCTATGGTTAATTCATAATAAAACACTCTTGCTTGCAAACTTATATTTCTTCTACGATCCCATTTTCTGGATAGTGTTTTAAGAAGAATGTGAAAACTTGCAATGCATAAATAAACGAACTGAGGACCCAGACAGTCTTGTCTTCACATTTACTTTGGACCCAGACAGGCTATTGAAGTTTCCAGACGCCAAGCTAAAGTGAGGGAATCTAGTGGTAATCCCGATAATGTTTTGAAGCTGGAAGCTGCTGAAGCAAAGCTTCGGGAGCTAAAGTCGAACATGACAATATTGGGTAAAGAAGCTGCTGCCACAATGACTGCTGTGGAGGGCCAGCAACAGAGGTTGACTCTCCAGCAACTTATAGTCATGGTAATTTTTTCTGCCTGCTTTTGATGTGAGCCTTACTCTGTTCTTGTTCCAAAATAAATAATTCAGTAATCAGATTTGAAAAATTGTCATTTCCATAATTGGCTCTCATTGAAGATCGAGGCAGAACGCAATTATCATCAGAGAATTGTACAGTTACTTGGTCAGCTTGAAGGGGAGGTATGAATTATTCAGTGTAGTCAAGGAGCATGGTCTTTCTTCTCATTCAGTGGGATTTATATCCTTATAGAACTGCTATGTGACTTTAAATGGTTGTGATTGACTTGACTTGTCATCAATAGATGTTGTCAGAGCGTCAACAGATTGACACTTCTCCTAGTCCAGCTGTGGATAACACGATGCCTCCTCCCCCATCCTATGATGAAGTCAGTTGTACATTTGCTTCTCAAACATATGATGGATCAACAGATAGCATGGGTTACTTCTTGGGAGAGGTAACATTAACATACATTTCATTTTCTAATTATGATGGATGGAGTATTCCACTTTTTGTAGTTATAAATTGAAATTCTGTATCATTTATTTTCCTCTTACTGTAGGTCATTCATTCATATCAGGCTGATTCTGATGCGGAGTTGACTTTGTCAGTTGGTGACTATGTTGTTGTCCGAAAGGTTGTCTCACTTTTCTCCAATGTGTTCTCGTGTTTACCACTTCCGCTTCTCAATATAGATTAAAAAAGAAAAAAAAAAATTTTGTATCCATACTGCTGATCTGTTATTATGGTGCATGTATATGTTCTGGACCTTCTTTTACCCAACATCTCATACTGCTCTCTTCTCCATCAGAGTCTACACATGTCCTTTGCCAATTGATGTTTGTTACTTAAGCTTCAGATGTTTTATACTTTACCAATTGTGGGTTCTTCTTGTTGTATACGATGGAAGCGTTACTTTACGCAGTAGAGATCTCATGTGGACTAGCTTAGGTGTAAACTAGGGCTGACTTGTTAGAAGGAGATAAGGTGGAAGTGAAGTGAGTGACACTGACTCCGCGAGGCCAAGATTTCACCTAAGACTAATCTGAACATGGAGAATATCATATGTTCAAAGGCTTGGGAACAAGTCTGATGGTATGTTTGGTTGGAGGGAAGAATTGAGGAGGGATGGATGAGAAGGGGGATAAAAAAAAAAGCTTTTCATGTTTGGTTAGAGGAAAGAGAAGATAGAGAGGAAGAAAGGAGGGATGAAGCATACCTCGTTCCTTTATCTTTTTCTATCCACCCAAAATTGGGGGGAAGTGGAGAGAGAAAACAGGCTAACTACCAACAAATATGTAATTTCTATTTTTAACCTTTCCAAAAAATTGTTGTTAAACCTTACTGTGTTATAATTTTATATAATGAGGTTATATTGGTAAAAGTAACGTACAAACTCTCTTTCTCTTTCTTCCAACCAACCAAAAAAATATATATATTTCACCCCATTCATCCTTTATACTATCCATTTCATTCAACCAAACAAAAAGTGAGGGAGACACCTTCCCTTCCCTAGGGATGCCTCATCCATCCATCCCCCTCTCCCTTTCATCCGTTTTACCATCCCTCCAACCAAACGGAGCATGAGAGAGAGAGAGAGGTAGAAGAAGGAGAGAGTAGTAATAAAGGGGTACTTGGACCTCTCCTACATATGGGCTTGGTAAGTAGCCACTTAATTTATATTAATGTAATTATAGTTATGCAACAAGAGCTTGGTCTCTCACTTGGGGTCAAAGTACTCTGTTTCTCTCTTTTAAGTCAGGTTGAGGTGTACCTTGAGTAGTTTTACTTCAACAAACCGGGGAATTGAGCCCACACCAAGTAGGATCTAAAAACTCCTGGATCTTGCTACCAACTCAGTTCTTCAAATCTTCAATCTTCCCTTGAGGTTTATTTTTTGGGAAAAACTCCTTGAGGGTTTTCTTTTTGGAGTTTATCTGTGAGAAGAGCTCCTCTTAACTTTTTTTTTGATAAGTTGAGCTCCTCAAACTTTGAGGTTTATCCGTGGAGAAAACCCCATCAGTTTTTTATTTTTATTTTTTCCTTAGGTTTATTTGGGGGAGAGCTCAAACTAGTGAGTGCATGTAGAAGGCTGGAGTGCCATGGAGATTGAAAATGTTTGTATGAAGAGCGATGACGTGAAGTTCATAATTCAACATAGTAACTAAATTTTTATGTTGTTCTGTTGTGGAGATAGGTGAATACCAGATACCCACAACAATCTTATGAAGATTACAGAATGGGATATCACTTGTTTTATTAAGTCACTTCCAATATCGTTAAGTTATTCTGGCATAGTTTTTTAATTCTATATTCTATTTATTCATATGTAGCGATGAGTTGGGTGACAATACTTGACACGGCATGCTAACACAACTCAAACATGACATAGAATAAGTTGGTTTTAGTTTGGCTTAATCGTGTTTGGTTCGTAATTATGTTGACCCAAATTGACACGATAATTAAATGTGTCATGTTTGTGTTTGACTCAACTCGTTTATAACCCCCCGATCAAACTTGTTTAAGAAAACATGTCGGGTAAACGTGTTATGTTTGTGTTTAGAATGTCCCTATTAGTATGAAATTTTTATTAAATGTGTCTTTGTCCGTGTTGTGTTGTTTCAGGTCTTAACCCATTTATTAAACAGGTTGTGTGGGTTGTCGTCAGTCGTGTTACTTGTTTACTTATTATGTTGTGTTTATGTCAAGTTCATTTTGATCCATGTAGTAAGATTCCCATGTCATGACACAACACGAGTATGACACTAAAACATGACTTGTCACCCCTATTCATATGCTTGGCATTGGAACTCTAATGATGTTGTTTATCTACATCTACTTTGCAGAAGTGTCAGAACTTGTGTATTGTATCAAACTTAAATGAAAAGAAGTTATAAGCTTAACATTGTTTCGCCCCTCAACATCTTTCCAAACATGGAATACTACCTTGTTACTGAGCAACATAATCATGGTATGGCCGGAGAGGTCCTGCCAATATTTCACCACAGAAAAACCAAAATGTGCTTTTTTAATTTTTTCTTTCATTTCGTTTTTTTTCCCTGTTCTTTTTGGAGGGATGGTTGTGTGTGTATTATATTCGTGATTCTTCATCCACTGATGCAGAAAATTCTCGAGACATCCATATATATAATAAAACAAAAAAGGGGCAACAATGAACCCTTTGATGAACTTCTCAAGTAAACATAGGTAGTTCACCAAAATGCTCTCGAGCGACCCAGGCTTCGAAGTGCTTACTGAGTGACATTTAGCAGTGCACTATTCTCTAATAGCTTTTCTTTTTATCTTGTAATGTGAATATCTGTATTGTTCTGTCTTAAAGTTGATATTTCCATATATGTAATAAAACAAAACACGGGCAACAATGAACCCTTTGATGAACTTCTCAAGTAAACATAGGTCACCAAAATGCTCTCGAGCAACCCAGGCTTCAAAGTGCTTACTGAGTGACATTTAGCAGTGCAATACTCTCTAATAGCTTTTCTTTTTAACGTGTAATGTGAATATCTGTATTGTTCTGTCTTCAAGTTGATATTTCCAAACTGTATTCCATGTTAGCGTGCTTTGAAGAACGATTCTTTTGTTGTATCTAATATATTGATAAACTGAATACGAATACCCTATGTGCTTTATCTTAATATTTCCGAACTAAATATGAATACCTTTTCTTTTGTCAATACCGTTTCTGCTTTATGTTGCATCAGCTGCATTGTCTTCCAGTTACTTTTGGCGTCGCTATTATTCGTTATCAAAGGTTCGTTTCTTCTGTGTTTTTGGCAGGTGACAAACAATGGTTGGGCCGAAGGCGAGTGCAAGGGGAGATCAGGTTGGTTCCCGTTCGTGTATGTAGAAAGACGAGACCGTATTCTGGCAAGCAAGGTAGCCGAAGTTTTTTAAGTCTTGTATTAGCTTTTATCGGGCTTTTCATTTTGCGTTTAGCATTCGTGCAGAATTTCGGTTTCTGATCTCCATTTATGCTTTTAGCTGAAACTTGTTTGCAGAATTTCTTATGTTCCCCATCAACATATGCATATATGTTCATATATTAGAGACAAAGGAATGTTTTGCTTTATTTTTCCTTCTTATAGTTTTCTAGGTGAGCTTCTCTGTTCCCAATGTTGCTTATTTTATTTAGGGTAAATGACAGAAACCCCCTCAACTTTCACGATTTCGTAGAAAATTCCACCGAACTTCTAATTTTTAACAAAACCCCCTTATACTATACCTAAAATTTGCAGATACACCCTGTTGTTTACAAATCGTCACTATAGTGACGAGAAGTCGACAGTTTTTGACCTGAAATCTCTATAATACCTTCTCTATTGGACAAAATGACCTTGGATTGTTTTCAGATCCATGAATCGAACCGTATGTAATTGGGCTATTAATATTTCGTATCTCACACGTGCATGTATTTTCTTAAATTTTTTTGACATCTGTTTGTTAACATTTTGATTTTTTTTTTGTTTTTTTTTTTTTTTTTGTGTGTGGTTTTCATTTTATTTAGAAAGGCAACAAAAACGGTTTGGTAATTCTATTTTGACTTTTCCTATTTCAAAACTTTTGAAAACTAATTGTCATTTCCTTCGCAATTCTCACAACTTCAAAATGAAGCTTTGGGTTTTTTTCTTTTGGTTTTCAAATACTATTATTTTATTAATTTTCAAAATGAGAAATAGAGAAATGTTATTTTATTATTTTTTACAATTAGAGAAATGTTATTTTATTATTATTTTTAATTATACTTGAATAGTAAATAAAATTAAAAAAAAAAAAAAATTTATTTTATCATACTCGAATGATAAAATTAAAAGATTTATTTTATTATTTATTATTTTTCAATTATACTAATAGTAAATAAAATATTATTTTATTATTTTTCAATTATACTCAAATAGTAAATAAAAGAGTGAATTTTTTATTTTTTAAAAAAATACCAAAAGTAATTTCTCTTTTGAAAAATTCAACATGTTACCAAACATGTTTTGATTTTGATAACACAACTTTTCAAAACTTGTAATTTTCACAAAATTGAAAGTACAATAAAAAATAAAAAAAAATTTGCAAAATCACAGCTTTACCAAACTGGTCCTAAGGGTTCAATTGTCATTTTACAATTAATATTATTTTTATTTTCTTTTTCTTAAGAGGTAAAATGGTAAATTATATGTAGTGTGTGGGTAAGTGGCAACTTCCAAATAGTTGAAGGCCCGAAGGAGCATTATCCAAGTGTATTTGCAAAACCATGAAAGTTGATATATATATATATATATATATATATATATAGAACAAGTGGAAGGGAAGTGGCCAATGACAGCGCCTTAAAGTCCTCAAGCTCCGAAGGGCAATTTGTGGGTGACCAACTGCCCTAAATGCCCATACCTCAAGCTAATCTATCTGCAACATGTGTTGCCTCAGCAAAAAAAATTCTGTTATCTTGTTTGCATAAATTGTTCTTATAGAATTGAAATTCAAATAATTTAAAATTATCGCGGGTCCAAAGTTAAAATAATTGAAATTTTTAAGTAACTTGTTACTCCTATCATTAAAATATACATTAACAGTATCAACAAAAAATTAGTAACAGAGCAGAGAGATTTAACAAAGTCAAAAACCCAAGAGAAAAAGAAACACTTAAAAATTTAATCTAATATACAAATTTTTTCTTTTTAATTTACAATTAGTGTTTGAGATTTTAATATCGGACTCTTAAAATAATTTCTCACTTTCTAAAATAGATGATCGATGATATGATATAATATTATCATTGAATACCACTTACAATTTAATCTAATATACAATTTTTTTTTTCTTTTTAATTTACATTTAGTGTTTGAGATTTTAACGTCCGACTCTTAAAATAATTTGTTTTATCAAACACTTTAAAAAAGTATATGATTACCTTAATAGTTTGAAAAACAATATTTTGAAAATTGTTTTTAGAATTTTAGATTAAAGAAAAAAATTAAAGTAATTAAGAGAATACATGCATGGCTTTATACATGTGTGTGTGTATATTATTTCATGACAAAAATATTTTAAATTAATTTGAAACGGAGTCAGGTTGAAAAGCAATTATGGTGATGGCATACTTACTAGCCAGTCCAAAAGAGAATCTTTGTTTTGGAGTGAACTAAGTTCCAACTTTCAATATCTTGTTGAAATAAAACAAATTATTTTAAGAGTCCGGTATTAATAAATGTTGGTTGAAAGTTATTAATTGGCAAAAAGTGCAAGAAATAAATTCGTTGGTTGACGTAATAAACAGTACATACCGTTTGATAAAGTGAGCTGTTCACGTGATTTGTTAATACCAAGGAAACAAATTTGGTGGCACTTCGTGCTTCATTTAGTACGCGTGTCCTAAAATCAGTATCTTCCTAAATGTGTCCACAAACTAAAATTTCTTACTTTTAAGGTGATTTTTTAACATAAATAGAATATTATACGTTGATTGAAATGTTTGTCAAATCGAATATGACAACAAATTATGATCACTTTTTTTCTTTTCGACTTTCGTTCTTTGTTAAATTTTAATTTATTATATGTTAATATTTAAGAAAATTAATTTTTTAAGAATTTAATTGTAATCTATTAAAAATTTGCAGTAAGTTTTTAAATTTTTTTTTTTATTTTTATTTTAGAGTAATTTAATCGGAAACTAATTCAAGATCACATTAATTTTGGTTATAAGGGTAATCCAAATTAACCCGACTTTTTAATCTGAAATCTAAGCCGGAATTGAAAATCCGAGTTTAAAAGTAAAAGGGTGGATTATACTCGGGTTGAGTAGTTGGGATTGAAGGTAATGTTAAAATTGAGATTTTAATCCGAAATCTAAGCCGGAATTAAAAACCCGAGTTTAAAAATAAAAAGGTGGGTTATACTCGGGTTAAGTAGTTGGGATTGAAAGTAATGTTAAAATTGAAATCTGATTGAATATTTCATATGTCGAATTGGGTCAAGCTATACCTATAACATGTTTAACTCGCCCGTGTTGTGGGGCGATGAATAGGATTTCTAAGAATTGGGAATGACAACCTAAACGTAAGTCGACATATTGTTGCACTTTTGGTAATTGGCATTCCTCCATTTTAATATTACTTTTATCATCTTATGGGCCATTATCTATGTGTGTCAGTCCCTTTAAAACACTTGAGCTGAATATCTACCATTTCCAAGGAATATGAAAGCGAAAAACAGAATAGGGTTGTTATTTAGTAATTCAAATCTTTTTTTGTTTTGATAGTTGTGTTTTTTTGTTTTTGAATTAGGAACAATTATTTAAACTTATAAGTAGCTAGAAAGACTTGAGAGGTCTAATTTGTGTAAGCACATTTTCTAGTTAAGAGGATGAGTAAATTATTAACATGTGTAGGTTTATATAAATATATTCACCTACGTGGCATATTAAAAAGTCAAACATGCATCGACTGTGTATGAGAAACCTTGACATCAAATGTTTGCATCATAAATTAGAATTTAGAATCAGCCACATGGGATGTGCTGATTGTTTGCCCCAAAATCATAATTGTTGGAAGATGTTTGGTGCAATTAAAATATAATGTGGTAATTTGTAACTTAAGAAAACTACAAAAGCAGTGAAATTCAAACATGTGTTCACACTACACATTAATTTTTGACATGTGGCAATGGCTTATAGTATACATGTTGATAAAGGAAATAATAAGAGGATAAGCATGGATAAGTTTGTTGAAATCAAATTCAAACACTAGAGTTTGAATTCAAATCAAAGTGTCAGTTGGTTAGTTAGGTAATTACCATTAACTGATATAGGATGCAATTATAAATAACATGGAAGAAGGCCTGTGCAAAGGTCCCCGACCAACACAAATTCTGCATTATTTTTCTTACAGTGTAGCATTTACATTTAGTTTTTTTCTTGCATTGTACTTCTTTTTCCTTAGGAGTAGTGCTATTAGAATCCAATTCTTGTATTTATATCACTTGTGTAAGAATTTTACTTATGAAATAAGATGGACACTAGTACTTAAGTATTCCCTCTATTGTTATTTTATAAGTTTCTTTGGGATTGATGAACACTTGTGCAATTAGTGTTGCTCCCTTCATTTAATTTTAGCCCTTATTTTATTTTGTTTTGTTGAAAGTCCTCTTAATTGAGGCACTGAAGAACCTGAAGGAAGGGGTCATCCTTGTCTTCCAACAATCGCCTGATTCCATCTAGAGGCCAATTTGCTGATTCAATCGCATTCAATGATAGTTTGGTTATCCATTTAACACTTTGGGTTGAAATAGACCCTAGTACGCCTTTAAAAAAAATAGCTAAACACATATCGGGTTATCAAATCTCAAGAGTACAATTATTTATCAAAAATAAAAAATAAAAAAATCTCAAGAGTATAACCCTCAAGTGTCAACGAAACCCTAACATTACAACAGTTCATCAAACCTCGAAAGGATAACCCTCGAGTCTCAAAAAAATCTCTAGTTCATCAAACCTCGGGAGCATAACCCTTAAGTCTAAAAAAAACCCTGGTATCACACCAAGTCATCAAACCTCGAGAGCATAACCTTCGAGCCTCAAATGAAACCTTGTCATCACACCATATCATCAAGCCTCGAGAGCACAACCCTTGAGTCTCAAGGAAACTTCGATATCACACTATGTCATCAAACCTTGAGGCTACCTAAACCTCAACCAAAGTTGTCAAATGAAAAGTGAGATATAGGTAGGTCCTTCTCGCATCCCTGTAATTGGCATCTAGGATACTTTGAAGGATCTTAGCTTAGTGGATGAAAAGATAAAAGATGCGTAACACAAGTAATGGGCCTAACTAATGGGATGGTGAACAAGTGTTGTAGTAGAGAGCCTCAACATTACCATTAATGCTTTGATAAAAGTCATTAATGCTCCAACTACCACCGTTCTCACAAATTCTGATGCATTTAATGCCCGAGTTAAAATTTCACGACGCCACGCCACACAGAGGCATGGTTCAGTAAAGAGATGTGACTCCGCATCTATGAGTATCATACCTATAACCTTAGGTATGGTGCAAGGACCAAGCAAGTTCATGACTCTTGGGTAAT